ACCCATACCCTAGGAACTCAAATTTTTCATTTGAATAACACTATGTGTGTGACTTAGGCAGGATTTAATAGGCTCTTAGGGTGCTGTCCCCTAAGTTTAAATATGTGTAATCTTATTAATTTATTTTCCAATACAGTGAACGGCCTAACAACTTAGGGGATTTTTTTTTTCCAAGTTCATCAAGTTAATTTTCAAGGCCCTTATGCACTAAATTATATTCTGCCAATTAATAACAAGTAACAACAAAATCCCAAGGTTCCCACACATACAGAATCAGTTTGCATCACTAGAAGATGCTTAGGATTATTTTTTATTTAAACAGCCATCTCTTCTAGGCCTAAAGGTGCGCTGAGGGAAGCCTAAAGTATGTTGTATACATAAATTTAATGCAAGTAAAACCTAATTAATTTGGTTAATGAAAGGGATAACCCAACCATAAAAAAAAACTATTTCCAAGCTCATAAGGTTAAGCATTACGGTTTACCCATGCAATCTCATGGCTGTTCAAAAGAATAACAACAAAGAAGGAACGACAGAAAATCTTGCACCCATTGGCATATATACATCAGCCGAGTAGTTAATGGAAAAAGGGGTTAAAATTTTGGTCATTACCTCCTTGTAGGTACCTCACGTCCACTACTCAACCAAGGGACAGTCATTAAATTTTTTACTCTATCCTCCTTACACTCCAATTCTGAATTTTCAGCTACAAGCAAGGGGGGAAATTCCTTTAGAGACCAAACAGAGTAGGATGAGACCAAGATGCAAAGAAGTACCATACCTCCTTGAATTGAGCTGGACCGTGTACCAAAAAAAAAAACAGAAGATTGATGCTAAGCTTTGTTCACGGTTTGCATGCAGTGGGGGAAAGGCTCCAATCAAGGTATAATCATACGCATGCACAAAGGAAAACCCTCATTAAGGACCGGTTTGTATTGAGATAGATAAGGAGAGGAAAAAATCGTTCACCTCTTTAAGCTGAACCTACGGCTGAACAAGGAAGGAAGGGAGGAGTGCCTAATCATTTTTGCTCCCTACTCCAAAGAGCTCGCGGATTAATGGAAGTGAAGATGAAATGAAATTTTCTTGGTGTTCTTCCTCCACTAGATCACGGTTTTGAGAGAATAAGAGGAGCTAGTTTTCTGTTCTAGATCAAGAAGATAACCAATCAGTTTTGTGCTACCTTCCAATGCGCAAGAAAAAGAGGATAATGAGGCTGTTTGGGTTTTGCGATTAGACACCAATTCAGATTTGTTCTATCCCCTAACCACCGCACAAAGTGGAACAAGTGAGAAAGTGTTAAAGTTTCCTAATAATTAAAATTGAAGGCTAACAAGAAAAGAAGTCAACTTTGTCATGCCCTTCTAAGCGCACAAGAGAGGAATAAGGCTGGAGGATAGGGCTGCCTCTTGCCCAATAGAAACTCATGCATGTAGATGACTCTCTCCTTATTGGTTGCATGTGGAGGCAATGGGGCTGGCTTGCTTTGTCCAAAAAGCAAGCAAATCAGAGTTTTCTCTTTACACTTGACACATGTGTTGAGGAAAGGATGGATAATGTTTGCCATGTGGCTGTGCTTGGCCAATGCATGGTAACCATGCTGATTTCTCTATGACAAGTGGGGATTAGTTAAGGTTGAGGAAAGCATTTTTGGGCTGGTCACATGCCCTCCTCAAGGCTCTTGGGCCGCAGCCCTCAAGGGTCCAAATAAAAGGCTTCCAAATAAATCACTCCTCACAAGTACGAACCCATGCCTTATTATTTTATGTACCCTCTAATTATTTACTTAAGGGTGTATTTACAGAACTAAAATTAATCACATGCTTATGACTAATATTCAAATTCAGAAATATTCCTACTTATTCCCAATAGCATGCATGCACAAAGATTACTTCCCCTAACTCGAATTAATTCCATCATGAACATATATATATTTCGAGTTCAACACATGTATTAACATTATTAATGGCAGTTTATATACATTCCTAATTTTTACGGGATGTTACACAAATGAACCCGTGTGTATCTTCTCAACTGTGTAAAGATATCGGAGAGGTTTTGATTAATAGAAAAAGGGAAAAAGAAGTATTCTTTTGATTCACACAAGCTTGTGTCATTTTAGGTGTTTTATACAAAGTACGACCGTCGTACTTTGTGTAAAACTAAAAAGTTACTTTTTTTTTCTCTCTTTCCAGTCACATCGCTGACGTGTAAAGTGAAAAAAAAAGTAATTTTTCAGAATTACACAGAGTACGACCGGTCGTACTCTGTGTAAATCACTAGAAGGACACAACTTGTGTCCTTTTGAATGATATACACTAAACTCATAGAAAAAAATATAAAATATAATGTAAGAATACATTGCAATATAATACAATATAATGTTATATTTTTTGGTTACTTTTTTGGAGATATTCTGTGGTATTCCAATCGCCACACCCAAAATAAGTAAATCAAGTGGTTAATTTTTTTCTTTTTTCTTTTTAGAATTATTCCAATCGATTCATTGTTTCGTGACTAGTTCGATTCGAAACAGGTCCTGGGATTAAGACTATAAACAAGTGATTACTTTGATTCCTCCTTTCTTTTAATTTTTCTTTACAATAATTAGTCTCCTTCGAGTGAGCTAGAAAACCGAATCAATGTAATAATATGAAAATTATACTTTTTTTATGCAATATTCCTTGTGAAATACACCCGTGATCATGACTGTCATCAACTATTGTAGTAACAAATTTTCTTAGCATGCTCTTTAACCTTTTTATAGACTAGTAGGCAACCGTCATGTACAAGAAGAAATATGAGCAGGGTATGAAAAACTCGATCGTACAACAATTCTTGACAATCATGATCATATGTGTAATGACTAGGAACAGTGATCATAAGTATCACTCGGTTGTTAGCCAATAGTGCTTAATACTTACCCATATTTCCTGTCTACGTCCCAGAGTGGCCATTCAAAGTTTTGACCTAGTTATTTGCATATATATATTGCTACGAGACAAACCCTTTCAACAACTACATCACAATTCACAAGTAGGAGGTACTTCCAACAATTATCAGTTTTAGTGCTAGAACATTTATCCTACCCGTAAGAGTGTGGCTCCCTTACGACGCACTCAATTCTTGTCGGTACATAGACCAAAGTTTTTATGCTAGTGTTGAATAAAAAAATTGAAAAAAAATAATATTTATCTTGAGAAACAACATTTGATCTCAACTCTTCACCACAAGAGTCTGTTTCAGTTGCTTCTTATCAACTTGGGAGGATAAGGTTACCTGTATATCAAATTCACACTGAAAAGAAAAGAAGACAAAAGAAGCTATTTGTAGTGCACATCTGCCTCTAGTGACAACCATGTTCTTCTGATATCCAAGTTTAATGCGAAGTCCCAATCCTTTTCGAAGTTGAATGGAAATTGCAAAGCGAAACACATTTACCAAAAAAAAAATTGGACAAACTTTATTATATATATGTTTTTTAAAATTTAATATTAAACTTATTTCAAAGTCAATCTTTATTGTTACCTTATCTTCTCTCACTACCACAACTAAATCTTTATGCTAGGCACGCTTTTAATTGATTGAACAAGCTTGGAGTGGTCTATTTTATCTTGTATTCTAGTAAGCATGTGGTCTATAAAATGAGTATTATTCAATTACATAAAAAATATCCGAAATTTAGAATTCATTCTAATTTCATATAATTAATTAAACAACTTAAAGATGATAGAAATGTAATAGTATGCCTGAATATGTAAGGCTGTAGTTAATCATCAATTTAACTTGTAGTTGAACTTCGAACATAAGTTCATTTTGCGTATGGCGTGTGATTAATGTACATTAGTTATTGAGCGCTAGCTCAAACTATATAAATGTAAAACTACTTTTTGTCGATGCGAGGTGTTACACTAATAAACATGCCTTTTTTAAAAAAAAAATTGAAATGTTTGATTAATTTTAAGATTGTAATTAATTATGATTTTCAAATATTTGGTAGAAAAAAAAAAAATTATCCGAAAATCATGATTATCAAGAATATAGTGCGAAAGTAAATTTTCTGAAAATTTTATCAAAAACTTATTTAGTAGATCAAAATATTACCGAGAATATTGACTCAAGATTACTAAGTTTATATTTAGTTGATTATCAAATATTACTAAGAATGTTGGATGTATTTATAAAATTAACCTTTATGAAATAAAAATACAGCAAAAAAAAACCTATCAATTCTAACCCCAACAACAATAATGCACTGCAACAACAGCACAATGTTTCTCACCCCCACCATTTCTAAATGGCTGCGAAATTTTCCCAATGCAAAAGAAAATTGCTACAAGATAAGTTTTTTTTTATTTTTTTTTTCAACAAATGGTACGACACTCCAAAAAATGAGGTGATTTGTGGAGGTCATATTTTCATATTGTGGGGTCTTTGATCCCCACAAAAGACATTTGTGGCATTCACCCAAACCCCCAGTTCTGCCTTCACCACCACATAATTTGTGAAGGTTTTTTGTGCAGTGCCACAATTTGTTGGAGTATTTTCTGGAGGTTCAAGACCCCCACAAATGTTGTATCATTTCTGAAGATTTACTAACCTTCACAATATGTTAAACTTTCTGTCACTCGCAAACCCCCACTATTTATCACATTTGGTGACAGCTTTAGACTGCCAGTATCTAAGAGTTGAAAGGTTTATACATCATAACTTGAAAATTGGGTCACATCACTTGATTTGTTAACCGATTTATTATTTACTTATTTGATCTCTTAATATTTCTTTGAAAACAATTACTAAATACTAATTATCCAAAAGTAACACTGTAGCACACCAATCATAACTCATTAAAAAAATTGGCAATACTTCATATTTCAAGAAATTGGCATATTAAAGAAAAGTGGAGGCAGCCATTGAAGTTATGCTAACAGTACACTAAACAAGAAAAATACATAATTAAAGAAATTGACATTATTGACCAATTCAAAAAAAAATCTCAACTACTTTTCCTGCATTTATATGAAAAATATCTAAATCAATTATTATAATTCTCTGTCAAATAAACAAATCAGAACAAACATTCAAATGGAACAACACATCAAGTGTCAAAAATAATCAAATCTTAGAATCCTCCTAAAATGCTGCTCTCAGTCCCTACTCACAAATTATTTACAAATTATTGGAAAAAAAATTTGTGGATTCCAGACCAATATCCTAGGCCACTTTGGCTACCACTCCTGCACCAACTGTTATGCCTCCCAAAGGGATTGAAACGGAGAAGAGAAATGTTGTCATAGTCATGATGATCAATCTGCAAATTGCAAGTTTTAGAAAATCATATATGAATTCAAAAAAAAAGATGGACAAGTAAAACACAACACAACACACCATTATATGACTATAGACTATAATTCAATAAAAATAAAATGCCAAGTATGACTATAGACAAAAGGTTGGATTCAGTACATGTTTTGTTGTGTGTGGGCTTTAAGGCCAGCAATCCAACTATAGCCAACTCCATCACTGAATTGTTCTCTCTGCCTAAATAAAATGCGCTGCATGAAAATCAAATGTTCTGATGTCAGTTTGACCGATTAATTTTGCAAAGATCTATAGACATTTTAGCAAATATCAGAGTACCTTTGGCAGATAAGGATGCTCTTCACCATCAAAGCCCTTCCTCAGAACCCATTTCTCTATTCGTCCTTCTTCTCGTTTTATCTGAAAATATCAAATAGTAAACCAGCTTAATAAAATTCTCTTAAGTGATGAAGCAACCAAGTCACATTCTTTACTCATACCATTTTATACTTAGGACCAATATTCATTACAACATTGATAAACTCCTTATTCAAAAATGGTACTCAGGCTTCTAGAGCCCAACCAACATTGACTTATTGGTTCATAAGCAATCATACTGGTGGAGTGCTTTGATCTGTATGTAAAAAACATAACTATTAGCCCTTGTACTTTAACCCCTTATATTGTACTGGCGATAAGCAAGTACAATATAAGGATGAGTGCATATACAAGTTTACGAAAGTTTAGCATATCTATTTATTTAATTTTAGAAGGAACAAATTGTCAGTTTTTAGTTGCACGTGCCAAAAGAATCCAGGCATGATAATTTACAGTCACCTAAATTGATGAAGAAAAATCAATTGATGTAGATATTGGGAATACAAGCATAGCAGTGAAGGGGTCACTAAATACATTCCTATTTGTGTTTTGTTGTCTCATTCCAATTTCCTTTTCTTCGGGTTTCTTGTATTGGGAGAAAACGAACCAGAAATATTTTCACCTACCTATGGAAATAATCGTTATTTTCATTTAGAAGATCTCTATGGAAGCTGCTAGGAAAAAAATAAAATAAAAAATAACGATTATTTCCTCAAAATAAGTCAATCCATGACAATGGATTTGTTGCCTAATTATTGTCTTCAAAGAAAACAGAAAAAACCATATAACAATTGTGAGAGGAGTGAAATTAGGAAGTAGGTAAAGTCTTCTCACAAAAATAAAATCAAAGTCAATAACTAATTAGTGTGAAATATGGTTCAATATCATCAACCAGTGATAACTCTTTGAAGTTCCAACTTATTTTTATGAATGTATCATAAGCTTCCTTCCCAGCTTCAACAATTCCCTACAGAGTACAATAGGAGATGAATTAGTATAGCTACCAAGCTTATTGATAAACTTCATGGCAAATCAAAAAATTCAATAAATTCCCAATTTAAACTCACCCCTTGACGCAGCCACAGACAACACCGACCCAAAAGTCTATGGGTCAGGCTCCAAACCTTGTACCCTCATTGTCTTGAGAAGCAGCAAAACTTCACATAAATCCCCAATCTGGGCGTAGGCTAATATCAAGGAATTCCATGAAACCAGGTCCCTATGGTCCATGTAATCAAACAATTTCCTAGAATCCTCAATGTTTCCACATTTCCCATATACATTTAGCATTGAATTTGACAAATTTGTATCAGACATAAACCCATACAAAATTGCACAACCATGCAAACACTGCACATGAGCAAGCTCTGAAACTCCAAACAGCAAGCTCAACATGGTAACGCTACTGAGTTGAATTCCCTGGCGACGCATTTCATCAAACAAAGAAAAGGCCTCAAGAAAGTGACCCATGCGAGAATAGCACCCAATAATGTTAGTCCAAGGTACAACGTTCCTCTCGGGAATAAAGTCGAACACTTTGCAAGCAAATATTCTCACATATAAGCAAATATTAACAAAATAATATTCATCACTCACGCCTCCATCGCCTCAGATCTTCATCATCTCCGTGTGGATCCTCGTTACCGAATCGATCTTCATCATCGCCTCAGATCCATCGCCTCCATGACCGCGTTCATCATTATCATGTTCAGCTTCCCAAAACGTTTCTTCGCAACTTCAACTGAACCGAAAAAACTAAAAATGTCAAGTAGCAAAGATGAAAATGAAAGCGTATAGATGAAAATCTCATCATCCTTGATAAAAAGGATGAAGAAAATACCCTACTGCAGACACCACGATTCTAACATGGAAATACGCTTGGGAGAGATAGAATGAGAAAAAAGAAGACGTTGGGGAGGTGCTGCAGGGTTTGATGAAAAACAAATATAATTTTTAAAGTATATATATCAAGTTGTAGCGGTCATCAAATAATATTGACAAAATAATTAAAATATTTAAAAAAGTTATATAAATTTTGGGGGTCAAAACCCCTCACTAATTATATAAATTAACAAAAGAAAATAATGCAAAGTGGCGTTCTTAAAAGCTGCCAAAATTTATATATTTTTTGGGAATTTTATTAACCTCCACTAAATAACCTTCACAAATCACGTAATTTTTTATAGTGCGGCATTGGGATTGTCACCATGGCAACTCCCACTTTTTTTTTTTTTTTTTCTACAACGGCTGTATCGGTGTTAACAGTAGCAAATTCAGCTTGAGCATTCCTAACTGTCAAGTACTTCCCAACACCACCGCCAACTTCGCCAACCACTACCTCCAAATTCAGAAATTCCAGCGCCAGGATTGCTATACCATGAGCCGACCTTATCTTGAAAGGTATGGGTCTGGGGTAAAAGAAAACTAAATCAAGAACGAAAACTGCCATGAGGGTATTTTTGTTAACAAAATTTTATGTGATTTTTCCAGCAGAATAGAAAAGTACCACCTTCTGAGTGATATTTTGATTTTGAGTGATATTTTGATTTACATTTTACATAGAAAACGAAATTCAGTAAAAAAAATTCCAATATGCTATTAAATATGGAATTTTAGAAAACTCATTTTCACTTTTTTATGTATCTAAAAATAATCATCTTGCCAAACAATTTTTTTACATTTTAATTAGCTGTAGCCAAACAGAGAAGAGGAAGCTAGTTTACGAAATGAGTATTTCCGCGGTGCCCACTGTACTTGGAAACCTACCTCACTCAAATTCATATTCTAAATCAAATGATCCAAACCTTCGTAGAAATATCATCTCAATCTTGCAGAAGAACCGCAAGGACATCAAACATATCAAATCAATACACGCCAAAGCCATAAAGAACGAAACAGAGCAAGACCCTTTTGTCATCTTCGAACTTCTTCGTCTATACTGCAACCTAAACTCATTGGACTATGCCACCAGACTTTTTCACTGCACTGAAAACCCAAACGTGTACCTTTACACTTCCCTCCTTGATGGGTTTGTGTCCTTTGGCTCTTACAGCGACGCCCTTAATTTGTATAGTCAAATGGCCCACAAGCACGTTTTGGCTGATAACTATGCAGTCACTTCGGTGTTGAAAGCATGTGTGCTTCAACGTGCTTTGGGAAGTGGCAGAGAGGTTCATGGTCAGGTTTTTAAATCTGGGTTATGTTTGGATAGGTCAATAGCGTTGAAGCTCCTTGAGTTGTATGGGAAATGTGGTGAGTTAGAAGATGCGTGGAAGGTGTTTGATAAAATGCCTGAACGAGATATCGTTGCGTGCACTGTTATAATGGGTTCATGTTTCGATAATGGGATGGTTGAGGAGGCGATTGGGGTGTTCAATGAACTTCAGACTCGGGACACGGTTTGTTGGACTGCTACGATAAACGGATTGGTGAGGAATGGGGAATTGAATAGGGGTTTGGAGATGTTTAGAGAAATGCAAGTGAAGGGTGTGAAGCCTAACGAAGTTACCTTTGTTTGTGTCTTATCTGCTTGCTCGCAGGTCGGAGCTTTGGAGCTCGGTCGATGGATTCACATGTACATGCGCAAGTGCAATGTCAAGCTTAATCAATTTGTTGCAGGCGCATTGATCAATATGTATTCGAGGTGTGGTGAGATTGATGAGGCACTAGCTTTGTTTAATGAGATAAAAGTAAAGGATGTGTCTACTTATAATTCCATTATTGGTGGATTGGCCTTGCATGGGAAGAGCATGGAAGCGATAGAATTGTTTAGGGAAATGCTTAAGCAGAAGCTTAGGCCAAATGATATAACCTTTGTTGGCGTCTTGAATGCTTGCAGCCATGGAGGGTTGGTGGAGCTGGGTTATGAGATTTTTCAATCAATGGAAACAGTTCATGGGATTGAACCACAAGTAGAACACCGTGGCTGCATGGTTGACATTCTTAGTAGGGTAGGTAGGCTTGAAGAGGCCTTTAACTTTATTCGGAGGATGGGAGTACATGCGGATAATAAAATGCTCTGTGCTTTATTAAGTGCTTGTAAAATCCATAGAAACGCTAAGATAGGAGAACAGGTTGCAAAACTTTTGAGAGAATATTGTAGGATAGATTCTGGATCCTACGTAATGTTGTCAAATTTCTATGCTTCTTTGGGAAAATGGAATGCTGCAGTAGAAGTTAGAGAAAAGATGGAGAAGGGTGGAATCCTGAAGGAACCTGGTTGTAGTTCTATTGAAGTCAAGAATGCAATACATGAATTCCTTTCAGGAGATCTTAGACACCCCGAGATGAAAAGAATACACAAAAAGTTGAAGGAGTTAAACTATATGGCAAAATTGGCGGGTTATTCACCGGCAACAGAGATGGCTTTACATGATATTGATGATAAACAAAAGGAATTGGTTTTGGCAGTACATAGTGAGAGACTTGCGATATGCTATGGACTAATCTCAACTGAACCATACACAACATTGAGAATTGTGAAAAATTTGAGGATTTGCGATGACTGTCATGCAATGATCAAGCTCATAGCAAAGATTACTAGCAGAAAAATTGTGGTTAGAGATCGCAATAGATTCCACCATTTTGAAAATGGAGATTGTTCTTGTAAGGATTACTGGTGAGGAATAACAAGTTTGAGTATAATTATGTTGCAACCCAATCCAATGGGCTTAAGGAAGACAGGCCCGAAGCAGCCTCCGTACTTGATGGACTATTTTCAGTGACATTATTGTTTAAAGAAGTGACTAGGCCCATGTCACAATGAATATGTGCTTTTCTGAAATGATCAATGTAATTACATGAAATAGGATAATCATGTAAAAGCTTTTATATAGCCCAAGGGGGGCGTGAATGAAAGTTAGAAAATGTTTGACAAACTCTTTTCTCTCTCCAAATTCTCTCCTTTCTCTCTCTTTTCTGTTATCCCTTCTCATCTGTTTTTCTTAGATCCAGTGACCCTACATTTTGGTGTTTTCATCAACCTCTTCCTCCCATTCAATGGCGGAAAACACACGTATGCGTGATTTGCAGTAGCGTCTGGAAGCTCTAGAGCAACAATTCAACGTTGTTGAGTTGATCCGTGAACAACAGCACGCTGATATCCAAGAAAACCAAACCCAGCTACATGACGCACATCAAGAATTACAGCATTCTCACCACCGCTTCATTCAAGATCTCAACCAGTTGCAGGAATCTCACCATAACACACGTGGTATATTGGGCCACGGTCCTACTGCAGGTACTGAACAGTCTAGGTTCCGCCATGTCAAGCTTGATTTTCCACGTTTCTCATATGGAGATCCCACCACTTGGATCACCGCCGTGGAAAGATATTTTTCCTTCTATCAGGTTGCTACAACCGAACGGGTCAATCTTGCTGCGTTTCATCTTGATGAACCAGCAGCCAGTTGGTTTTACGGCTCAGATCAGAAGGATTGTTAACGGACTGGCGTACTTTCTGTACTGTGCTTCACCGCCGTTTTGGGCCTTCTGAATTTGAGGACTCCGCCGGTGCACTGGTTAAAATCCAACAAACTGGATCTGTCTTGGATTATCAATCCTCCTTTGAAAAATTAGTGAGTAAAGTCCCTGGGTTACCCACCACATTGTTACGCAACATTTTTATTTCGGGTTTAAAACCACCCATCCGACGCTCAGTTCTCACTCTAAGACCACAGGATTACCATGAAGCTTTTGCTTTAGCAAGAGTTTTTGAGGATCAGTCCAATGATAACAAATTCTCTCGTCCATGGCAACCATCCGTTAAACCAAACCCCAACATCCAACATTCAGTTACCCAGATTACTTCCAACCCTAACCCAATCCCAGCAATACCCATTCAACGTTTGTCCCAAGCTGAGATGCTAGCAAAAAGACAGAAGAACTTATGTTACAACTGTGATGAGAAATATTCTTTTGGGCATAAATGCAAGGGTCGAGCTACATTATTATATTTTGAAGGAACTGACGAAGAATCAAGCTCAAATGTCGTTCCCAATGCAGAAGATCCTGTGGCAGATGAGATAACTCCAGAGATTAGTTTCCATGCCCTTTTTGGCAACCGCAGCTCACGTTCATTTGACCTAACTGGGGCCATTAAAGGCAAAAATGTGCAGATCCTTGTAGATAGGGGCAGTACCCATAATTTCATTACTGCACGTATGGCTTCCTTTCTAGGTTTAACGCTGCACCACATTAATCCATTTCAAGTGCAGGTGGGCAATGGGGATGCTTTGCAATGTACCGCTTCTTCCCTTGCGGTATCACTGAACCTACAATCCTACTCTTTTACTGTGGATTTGTTTGTTTTAGATTTGAAAGGTGCTGATGTTGTTTTGGGGATCCAATGGTTGGCCACTTTGGGGCCCATTATCACTGATTATTCTCAGATGACCATGTCCTTTAACCATAAGGATAACACTATATTACTACAACGCGACCTGGCCATTTCACCAACTCAAATTTCTAATGCTTAATTACACAAGCTCCTGTCCCAAGATTCAGTATCTTTTTGCTTTATGTGCCTCAATAGCACCCTTTCCAACCCTTCCCTCACAGTGCCACATGTTCCACCACCTTTCCCATTCAACAAATCCTCACTGATTTCCAAGATATTTTCAATAACTCCACCACCTTACCACCTGATCGCACAACCAATCACAACATTAATTTGTTCCCTTCATCCAAACCCGTCCAGGTTCGCCCTTACAGATACCCTCACTTTCAAAAGATCGAAATTGAACGTATGGTCAGTGAGATGTTGGACACATGTGTGATTCGTCCTAGTCAATCATCTTTCAACTCCCCTGTTCTTCTGGTCCGTAAGAAGGACGACACATGGCGATTTTGTGTTGACTACTGTGCCTTAAATGCTATTACAGTCCCAGATAAATTTCCAATCCCAACAGTGGACGAGTTATTAGATGAACTCCATGGGGCAAAAATTTTCTCCAAGCTCGATCTACGCTCTGGATAACATCAGACTGGGATGAACCCATCTGATGTATATAAGACAGCCTTCCGCACTCATACTGGTCATTTTAAATTCTTAGTGATGCCATTCGGTCTATCTAATGCCCCTTCAACTTTACAGGCCACTATGAATTGTGTGTTTCACCAGTTCTTGAGAAGATTTGTTGTAATCTTCTTCGATGATATCCTTGTTTACAACCAATCTCTCCAGGAGCACACGTCTCATTTGACCCAAGTCTTGCAAACATTACGACAGCACAAATTCTTTGTCAAATTAACCAAATGTTTTTTTGCTGTGCAGGCAATCCAATTTCTTGGCCATATTATTTCTGCTGCAGGTGTGTCACCTGACCCTACCAAGGTGCAAGCTGTTCGTGACTGGCCTAATCCTCAGTCGGTGACCCAATTATGTGCCTTTCTAGGACTATCAGGTTACTATCGCCGCTTCATCAAAGGCTATGCAACCGTTGCCGCACCGCTTACAGATTTGTTATCTAAAGATGCCTTTAATTGGACCAAAGACGCTGAACAAGCCTTTGCGACTCTTAAAAACTTAATGACAAATGCTCCCATTTTAGCTTTGCCTGACTTTACACTTCCATTCATTGTAGAGACGGATGCCTCAGTAGTGGGCATTGGGGCAGTACTGTTGCAATTTGACCACCCCATCACTTTTTTTAGTCGTAAACTATCAAAGCTTATGCAATCCAAATCTACCTACTTCAGGGAAATGCATGCCATCACCTCTGCTGTGGAAAAGTGGAGACAATACCTCTTGGGTACGTCCTTTATCATAAGAACCGACCACAAAAGTCTGCACCACTTGATGACCCAAGTTATACAGACCCCAGAGCAGCAACAATTCCTTGCGAAATTGTTGGGGTACCACTATACCATACAATACAGACCAGGGAAAACTAATATGGCTGTTGACGCTCTATCACGTCAACAGGAGGGGACATCGATGGATTCACCATCCCCTGAATTCATGGCACTAAGAAATCCTACATCTAAGTACAGTTTTGTAATACAGTCCGAGTTACAACAGGATTCACATGCTACACAAATACTACAAGAGTTACAGACAAATCCTTCTAAATTTCCTCAATGGTAGCAGCTCCATGGAGTACTCTTCCATCGCCACTGAGTATACATCCCTACTGGTTCAACCTTAATCCCCATCCTTCTCCACGAGTTTCATTCTTCCAAGATTGGGGGTCACGCTGGTGTACGCCGTACTCTTCTTCGGCTGAGTGCCTCTTTACCTGGAAAATCATGAAAGCAGATGTTCAAAAATTCATCAGGAATTGTGAAATTTGTCAGAAAACAAAACCATCTAATCATTCACCCTACGGTTTACTCCAACCACTCTCAGTCCTAGATGCCACATGGTCAGATCTATCTATGGACTTTATAACACGTTTACCCAACTCCGGTGGGTAGTGGTGGACAGGCTCACCAAGGGTGCCCATTTCGCGGCTTTAGCACCCAAATACTCAGCAGCCAAGGTGGCTCAGGTATTTTGGGACACAGTCGGGAAATTGCATGGACCTCCAAGATCCATTGTCTCGGATCGCGACCCAATTTTCACTAGTGAATTTTGGAAAACGCTGTTCAAATTGCAAGGAACGTCTCTACACTTCAGTTCCGCCTATCACCCTCAATCAGACGACCAGACATAGAGGGTGAATCAAATTTTAGAACAATACCTTCGTTGTTTTGTCCACGAGAATCCATCAACTTGGCACCACTTTTTGAGTTGGGTCGAGTTCCATTACAACACAGCACACAGCAGAGCAACGGGTACAACACCCTTTCAGGCCACCTACGGTTGATCCCCACAATCCTTACTGGAATATACCCTAGGAACCACTCCCATAGAAGCGGTTGACTCCGATCTACACCAGCGCGCCTTGATCCAACAGAACTTACAAAAGGCACAGACAGTGATGAAATCTCAAGCTGATAAAAGATGGAAAGACTATACCTTTAAGGTAGGAGACTAGGTGCTTTTGCATCTTCAGCCGTACCGGCAGCTCACTGTCCACAAACGGTCATCCCATAAACTTGGCCTTCGTTTTTATGGGCCCTTCACAGTCTTAGAGCGCGTTGGTCAGGTGGCTTATCGTCTACAACTCCCAGAAGACTCGACGGTGCATCCGGTCTTCCACGTTTCACTCTTGCGTCCTTTTAACTTAGATGGTCGCTACCAAATCCATAACCTGTCTTCGGCTGTGGAACACTCCCCGCCAATGCATCTTCCGGCGACAGTCGTGTCCCATAGAACGATTTGAAGGAATGGGCGTGAGATACCTCAAGTGCTGATTCAATGGCAGGGACTTCCTCGTGCGGACTCAACTTGGGAAGATGAGGTTTTTTTGAGTTCCAACTCTCTTGCAAAGGTTTCACCTTTGAAAACCACTGTAGACATAACTCAGCGCATGCGCTCGACAGAGGCAAAAATAGAGATCAAGGGTTTGCCAGATATTGACCCTCCGATTATTTGCCTTAAATACGACAAGCATTCAAGTGCCACCGCTTTACCAACCAATCAGAGCAAGGCTTCTAAGACGGTGGGTCCCAATCCAACCACTCAGCATTTACTACTTGCCAACTGTAACCCACTCACCCAATTGTCCAGAAGCTTCCCACCGACAAGCTCAATAGTCCTACTTCCCTCGCCGACGAGGCTGATTTTGATGGGCAAGGGGATGTTGCAACCCAATCCAATGGGCCTAAGGAAGACAGGCCCAAGCGTACCAGGGAG